CTTTCTTTCTTTCTTTCTTTCTTTCTTTCTTTCTTTCTTTCTTTCTTTCTTTCTTTTCTCCCTCTTTTTCTTTCATTCTTTCTCTCTCACCCTTCTTTCTTTCTTTCTTTCTCCCTTTTTTTCTTTCATTCTTTTTTTCTTTCCTTCTTCCTCTTTTTCTTTCATTCTTTTTCTCTCACCCTTTTTTCTTTCTTTCTTTCTCCCTTTTTTTCTTTCATTCTTTTTCTCTCACCTTTTTTCTTTCTTTCTCCCTTTTTTTCTTTCATTCTTTTTCTCTCACCCTTTTTTCTTTCTTTCTCCCTTTTTCTTTCTTTTTCTCTCTCACCCTTTTTTCTTTCTTTCTTTCTCCCTTTTTTTCTTTCATTCTTTTTCTCTTTCACTGTTCTTTCTTTCTTTCTTTCTTTCTTTCTTTCTTTCTTTCTTTCTTTCTTTCTTTCTTTTTCTTTCTCTCTTTCTCCCTCCCCTTTTCTTTTCCCTTTCCTTTCCTTTCCTTTTTTTTTTCCTTTCCAGAGTAACTGTCCAGCACTCTCTCTCCAGAGCGCAGAGTTATATATACAGCACAGTGCTTTCCCTCCACTTCCTGGGTGGAGCCCGTGCCGGGGAGAGGCCAAAAAAAAAAAAAAAAAACGGCTTTATAAACCTCCAAGCTCGCCGTCAGCAAGTCCCGACAAGAGTGGTGGTGAAATTACAGCCCTTCCCGCAGAGGGAAGAAGACAGGAACGGGCCAGTTGGCTCCAGGGAAGGAGGAAAAGTGGTGGCATCTCCCAGGCCTGACCTTGGTCTCCTTTTCCCCCCACCCAACACCGCCTGCCTGCCTGCCTGCCAATCTTGGCCACATTCCGGTTGAGGTTCCCAAGGCCTCCGGCTTGTGACAAGCTTCTCAACCCTCAACCCTTCCTGAAGCGAAGCCGAAAGACTTCTACAAGCCTCTTCCCCAGAGCAGGGGCACCAGAGCCCTGTGATCCGGTGCCAGGGGTGAGACTGGATAGATGCAGCATCCGGAACACATGGGCTCCGTCGGTGGTGTCAGGCCATAGCGTGAGTCTCTCTGTCCCTTCTGGAAACCCGGCTGCCTTGAAAGCTGAGCTGGTTCGAGAACCTCGAAAGGGTGGCGATTGCAAGCCCTTCAGCTTGGACGGCGGGCCGGGTGGCCCCCAAGCCTAGAGGCCAAGAAGAACGGAGAAGGTCCTTGGAGAACCGTCAACCCTTCAAGAGCTTCCTTGGCTGGCAAGGGAGGATTTGAAGCCACCAGTTCCTGCCCGCAGGCGAGAGGAAACAGCACCGCAATGGGGTCAAGAAGCTACGCCAGGCACGGGGGCGTCTCGGGGGCACCGGGGGTCTTCGGTTCGCCGCCACAGGCTGCAGGCTGGGTCTTCCTTCTCCTGGTGGCCCTCCAGCAGTTCTGCTCGGTCGTGGCCTTCTCCACTTGCAAGACCTTGGACATGGACCTGATGAAACGGAAGAGGATCGAGGCCATCCGGGGTCAGATTTTGAGCAAGCTCAAGTTCCCGAAGCCCCCCGAAGTGGAAGACTTGGAGACCCAGGTCCTCTCAGAAGAGGTGATGGCTATCTACAACAGCACCTTGGAAGTGATCCGGGAAATGGTGGCCGACGAGCCGCAGGAGACTCTCCACGAAGAATACTACGCCAAGGAGGTGCACCGGTTTATGATGAAGTCCGCTGACAGCAGTGAGTCGGGAGAGGGAGAGGGCCAGGCATGGGGAACCATGGGTGGTGGTGGGGGGCATCAGAGGGGCTAGGACTCGGAGAAGATTGAGGGTTGGTTGGTTGGTTGGTTGGTTGGTTGATGAGTGGGTTGGTCTGGGACACACCGTCTCTGCGACCCAGATACTGGAAGGAAGACGATGCTTCCTGCATTGAGGGAGATAAAGTAGGAGGAACTATCTCAACCAGCTTCAGTTCTCCCTGGTTGGGGACTTCATCGTCCCCTGCAGGAAAAAAAACTGGAGTTTTTGGGGAGCCCCCTTTTGAAAAAAAAAACCTGTTCCCAATTTCTGAGTCAGAAAAGGAGCGCTGAAATTCTGGAGGTTTTGACAAGTATGGAGCAGGGGGTGTCCAACTTTTGGGCAACTTGAAGACTTGTGGGCTTCAACTCAGCTGGCTGGGGAATTCTGGGAATTGGAAGTCCACAAGTCTTAAAGTTGCCCCAAAGTTGGACATCTCTGCAAATAGACCATCACCGGCTCTTCTGGACAGCTATAGGGTCTCCTGCTTGAGTAGGGGGTTGGACTAGAGGACCTCCAGGGTCCCTTCCAACTCTGCTAATTCTGTTAATTTCGAGGTCCCTTCCAACTGTTCATAACAGAATAATAGATAATCAGAGTTGGAAGGGACCTTGTAGGTCATCTAGTCCAACCCCCTGCCCAAGCGGGAGACCCTACACCATTTCTGACAAAGGGCAGTCCAGTCTCTTCTTGAAAGCCTCCAGGGATGAAGCTCCCACAATTTCTAAAGGCCAGCTGTTCCCTTGGTTGATTGTTCTCACTGTCAGAAAGTTTCTCCTTATTTCCAGATTGAATCTCTCCTAGATCAGTTTCCATCCATTATTCCTTGTCTGGCCTTTGGGTGCTTTGGAAAATAGCTTGACCCCTTCCTATTTGTGGCAGCCCCTCAAATATTGGAAGACTGCTATCCTGTCTCCCCTGGTCCTTCTCTTCCCTAGACTAGCCAGGCCCAGTTTCTGCAACCGTTCAGCGTATGTTTTAGCCTCCAGTCCCCTAATCATCCTGGTTGCTCTTCTCTGCACTTTTTCTAGAATCTCAACATGTTTTTTAATAGTGTGGTGACCAAAACTGGATGCAGGACTCTAGGTGTGGTCTTACTAAGGCTTTATAGATTGGTATTAGTACCTCCCTTGATCTTGATTGTATCCCTCTGTTAATGCAGCTTAGGATTGCATTGGCTTTTTTGGCGGCGGCTGCACACGGCTGGCTCCTATTTAGCTGGTTGTCCACTAAGACTCCAAGATCCCTCTCCCAGTTCCTGCTATTAAGTAATCTGGTTTCACCTAGTCTACATGTGAGGTTTTGGTTTTTCTTTCCTAAATGTAGGACTTGACTTTTCTCTACGTTGGATTTCATTTGGTTAGATCGGGCCCAGGGTTCAAGTCTGTCCAGATCCATTTGGATCTTGAGCCTATCTTCTTGGGTGTTAGCTATTCCTGCTAGCTTATTCTGTTCTTCTAAAAAAAAAAAAAAACCTTTTCGTTTTTTTCTCAGACTTCTTAACATTTAAATATCCAATTCCCCCCCCCCCCCATTTTTTTTAAAGGGGGCAGGGGCTCATCTGATTCCTGGGCTAAGTTTCAGGAGGGGGAACCGGGTGTTTTTGGAAGTAGCAAGGAAAATCTTGACGCGAGGGAGCAATCGATAAAGCCAGAGTAGCGAAAATGCTGGCAAAGAGCAGCAGCAATGCAGCCTGGGTTGATGGCTCCTGCGTGTTCAGACATTACAGGTAGTCCTCAGCTTTGAGATGTTGTAAAGCAAGGCAGTCGTTGAGTGAGTCATGTCCCATTTTACGACCTGTTTGACCACAGTTGTTAAGCGAATCTGGTTCCCTTCACTGACATTGCTTGTCGGATGCCGGCTGGGAAAGTTGCAAATAGGGATCACGTAGGGATGGTGCAACAGTCGTAAGTGTGAGAACCGGTCCTAAGTCACTTTTTTTCAATGCCGTTGTAACTTCGAACGGTCGCTAAACGAATGAGTCCATTCTGGCTCCCTGTCAATTCAGGGAGTCCTCAAAACAATTCATTTAGCCAACTTTCAAAGTTGCAAAGGCACTGAAAAAGTGACTTAGGACCGTTTTCCACACTTACGACCATTCCAGCAGCACATGATCAAAATTCAGATGCTTGGCAATTGACTCGTATTTATGACATTTTGCCTTGCCCCGGGGTCATGCGATCCCCTTTTGCGACCTTCTGACAGGCAACGTCAGTGGGGAAGCCAGAGTCACTTAACAGTCGTGTTATTAACTTAACAACTGCAGTGATTCCCTTAATGACTGTGGCAAGAAAGGTCGTAAAATGGGGCAAAACTCACTTAACAACTGTCTCCCTTAGTAACAGAAATGTTGGGCTCATTTGTGGTCGTAAGTCAAGGATTACCAGTACAATACAATACAGTACAATACAGTTCAATACAATACAATATAGTTCAATACAATACAATACAGTACAATATAGGTAAATAAAATACAATACAGCACAAAACAGTTCAATACAATACAGTTCAATGCAATATAGTTCAATACAATACAATACAGTTCAATACAATACAATACAGTTCAATACAATACCATTCAGTACAGTACAGTACAGTACAGTACAGTACAGTACAATTCAATACAATACAGTTCAATACAATATAGTTCAATACAATACAATGCAAAACAATTCAGTATAATACAACACAGTACAATATAGGTCAATACAATACAGTATAAAACAGTTCAATACAATACAATACAGTACAATATAGTTCAATACAATACAATACAATACAGTATAAAACAGTTCAATACAATACAATACAGTACAATGCAGTTCAATTCAATGCAATACAATACAATACAATATAGTTCAATACAATACAATACAGTACAAAACAGTTCAATACAATACAATACAAAACAATACAATACAGTACAATGCAGTTCAACACAATACAATTCAATACAATGCAATACAGTTTAACAGAACACAATACTGTTCAATACAATACAGTTCAATGCTATACAATACAATACTGGTAGTTCTCTGACCCCCATATGACCTTATGACCTTGCTGATTCCAAAATCATAGGCCTGCATCCCAACATCACAACCCAAGTTCTATCCTTTTGTACCTTGCACCACAACATCACCCCCAAAACACGTCAGGGAGACTTTGTCGCAGTGTCGTGAAGATGCTCGTGGCTCCCATCCTGCAAATATTCTGCACGAAGGCCAGGTAACCCCTCCCCCCACCCCAACCCCAAAACCCCTGGAAAAACGACCGAACTGGGCTTAACTTTTCAGCATCCTGTAGAAGAAACCAGGTTGGCAGCCGGATGCTGAGTTTTGAGAAATGGCACACAGGAAAATCATATTTTTATCACTTTCGCAGTGATCAAGTCCCAGGGAATTTTTTACACAAAAGGGAAAATAAAACGGGCCTCGATTTCACTTCTGCAGCCCCCACGCATGGTTTCAGAAGTAAAAAGGTTTTTGTTTTGTTTTTTGAAACTTATTTTCAGAAGTGGGTAGAAGGAAGCTTTTATCCTTATAATTCCTTTTTGTCCCCAGTATTTTTTATTTTATTTAATAATGAATCCATCTTTCAGTTCTTTTTCACCTTTTACCCATATTGATCTTGATATTAACAGTACTGTGTCATCATTATTAGACAAACCAATCTCATGTAAATATCTACAGTTATATACTTTTACATACATTCATATACATTTATACTATAATTTTCTTATCTCCTTTATCCTTATTTCTAGAACAATACAAATTATTGCCAAAACCAAAATTCATCTTTCAGTTATACAATCAGTCGACTGGGCACATATGTCTTGTGCAAATATTCATATTTTGTATACCTTTCTTCCTAGGGTTGCATTCATATTAAAAACCACTCAACCTGATAAATCTTATCATTATAACAATATTCACTGAAGTTCTTATTTTATTTTGCAACCATTTATAAAATAAATCCCAAATTCCTGGCTTCCTTTTGGCATTTTCCACCCCATCCCCTGGCCTGCTTCCCATGATCCCATTAAACTCTTTTAACGAAAACTGAGTAGGACCCGGGCAATGGTGAGATTCAGCCAGTTCACACCAGTTTGGGAGAACCAGTTGTTAAACTTTTTGAGCAGTTTTGGTGAACTGGTTGCTTGGAAGGAATCATTAGGGCAGAGAACCGGTTGTTAAATTATTTGAATCCCACCACTGGGCAGGGGGTTGGATTAGATGACCTACAAGGTCCCTTCCAACTCTGATTATCTATTATTCTGTTATGAACAGTTGGAAGGGACCTTGGAGGTCTTCTAGTCCAACCCCTTGCTCAGACAGCAAACTCTATACCATTCCAGACTGTCCAATCTCTTCTCCAAATCTCTCCCTAGGTTAAGGGATTGCTATGGGGAAGGCAATTCTTCCTCATCGGTAGGATTTCTCCCAGGTGTGTGAAATTAACAGAATTAGCAGAGTTGGAAGGGACCCTGGAGGTCCTCCAGTCCAACCCCCTGCTCAAGCAAGAGACCCTATAGCTGTCCAGAAGAGCCGGTGATGGTCTATGGGCAGAGATGTCCAACTTTTGGGCAACTTTAAGACTTGTGGACTTCAATTCCCAGAATTTCCCAGCCAGCTGAGTTGAAGCCCACAAGTCTTAAAGTTGCCCAAAAGTTGGACACCCCCTGCTCCATACTTGTCAAAACCTCCAGAATTTCAGCGCTCCTTTGTTGGAAGAAATCATTAGAACCGGTGGTTCTAATTATTTGAATCCCACCACTGGATTCACAGGAGAAAAATTTTATTTAAAACGAAACGGATGTTTTTTTTTCTTTTCACTCTCTGTTTTTGCAACGTCAGCTTTGTCAAAGAGGAAGAAGAGCGGGTGCAAAACGGAGATCGCTTGGGCAAACCCGAGGTCTTTGCTTCCGGTGGTGAAACAGCTGGG